CGTATTTTTCTATTTTTATTAAGATCGTTAAAAAATACGTTTTTATGTGGGATTATTCTTTATTACCCGAATATTAAATTTACTTTTATATTTTCTACTACTATAAATTAAAACTTAAATTTTTATAATTAACAGGTTACTGCCATTTTTATCGAAGAACTAAACACTACCAAAGTTGTTCGAGGGTTCGAGGTTAGATTTGTATTTTGTAGATTTTGCGTTTGGCGTTAAATACTTTGAGTTTTCAATTTTGTTTTATTGTACCCTCTTTATTATTTTTGTAATGAAGGGTGTTAAAGTTTGTTTTGTGAAGGGCTGTCTAAATAACTATGAAGGCTCTCCAGAAAAAGTTTTTATAACTGGTCCTTTGGATGAAAGCCGTCGAAGAGACTGGTTTGAAGCGGCAAGACAACAATATGTCAGGAAAAGTACGAGATTTTGCTGTGAATATCTTTTTAACGTCAGTTCCTTAAGTTTTATTTTTCAATTAATTTTATATCTACTTTTTGGAAAAATGGTTTTTATTTACCTTTGTACCTGGTGGTAACCCGTGACACTTTTGATAGGTGACGTCAGAGATGGCAAAAGTGTAAATTTGAAATTCTTAATATTGATTAATTTATTTAAAAAAATGGGATGAAATTGAAGAAAAATCATAAAATTGTATGAAGATTAATTATTTGCAATAAAAAAACTATGGTTAAACTCCGGATTATTTTAATAAAGCAATCAATCTGAATACTAGGCCATAAGTTATTTTAAGATACCTCTAAAACATATAAACAGAAAGAATTAATGTCATATACAGGGTGGTCCGAACTGTATTCCGGAAACTCCGACAGCATGTTCTGCAGATAAAAATAACTAAAAAAGTTCGTAAAAATGTATGTCCTAAACTACTTAGTTTCGGAGATACAGGGTGTAGAAATTTCATTTTTATTTCGATTTTTTCCAAATAATTTCTAAAGTGACGTCAATATTTGGCTGAAAATTGGACTCTGGGAGTTTTTTGACATGAGAAATTTGATTTTGATGCCAATATGACTTCTATTTGTAGGGGGCGCCACCTACACGTGTTTTAACTATTTTGAACCGTAATAACTTTTCGTCCGTACCTGTATAAAACTACTGAGTAAAAAATATACATTTACGACGTTTTTTACGTGAAAAAGGTCCTTGGTAAAAATCGGTACGAGTAATGGTTCTCGAGATATTTTGAATCAAAATTATCAATACCTGTCATCATTGACATAAATTTAACATGTTGACTAAATAGTTATTAGACTGAAATCATAAATTTGAAATGTTTTTGTAACACAAGAGTTCAAGAGAAACTGTTTTATCATCATTTTTCCGCAGAAAAATTTATGATTAATTAAAAAAAATAAAATTTCCCAAATTTATTATTTCAGTCAAATAACTATCTATACAACCTGTTTATCTTTTGTCAATAATAACATGTATCGACTATTTCCATTCTAACTATCTTGAGAACGGTTGCTCGTAGCGATTTTTACCAAGAGACATTTTTTACGTAAGAAATCACGAAAATGTATATTTTTTTCTAAACTCGGTAGTGTTATATCGTTATACCCTAAAGTATACCCTAAAAACTCGATAGTGTTATACAGGTACGGATGAAAAGTTATTACTCTTCAAAACAGTTTAAACACATGTAGGTGGCGCTCCCTACAAATAGGAGTCAGATTGACATCAAAATCAAATTTCTCATGTCAAAAAACTTCTAGACACCAATTTTCATCTAAATATTGAAAAATTCGATATAAAAATGAAACTTCTACACCCTGTATCCCCGAAACTAAGCATTTTAGGACATACATTTATACGAACTTTTTTATTAATTTTTTTCTGTAGAATATGTTGCCGAAGTTTCCGGAATACAGTTCGGACCACCCTGTATATTGAATATCTTGTTATGGTTGTTGTTTATTTTATCGGATTCTCGGATATTTATCGTTCTATCTGTTTACCAGAATTAAATAATTCATAACTTAATATTGTTACCCATTATCGTGGATAAAGTAGAAATAATAAACTAGGGTTTTTTTTCAATGTAATCATCGTTAATATCCACTTGTTTACAAAGTTTTCCCCGACTACAACGTATAATTAGGCAGGCTTTAGCCTAAGCACGAAACTACTCGAGAAATACATGAATTGCAAGATTTTCATTTTGTTTTTACACAGAATAACATCGGTGTAGACTTAATAAACTGGTATTTTGACGTTGTTTGTTAATTAAGCACTCATGTTAAATATTTTTTATAAATTTTATGTTATGATAAATTTATTTATTAACGATAAAATTTGATTTTTTTAATATTAGCAAAAAATGTAGGCTTAATAGTTATTTTTTATACAAGACGATAAAATGGTATTTTATCGTCGTTGCCTATTGTTGCAGATAGATAGATAAATATATGATGGAATACAGGGTGGTCCGAACTGTATTCTGGAAACTTCGGCAGCATATACTGCAGATAAAAATAAGTAAAAAAGTTCGTATAAATGTATGTCCTAAAATGCTTAGTTTCAGAGATACAGGGTGTAGAAGTTTCATTTGTGAACATCAAAATCAAATTTCTCATGTCAAAAAACTCCCAGGCACCAATTTTCATCCAAATATTAACGTTACCTACTTCATAAATTATTTGGAAAAATTTGAAATAAAAATGAAATTTCTACATTCGGTATCTCCGAAACTAAGCATTTTAGGATATACATTTATACGAACTTTTTTACTTATTTTTATCTGCAAAATATGCTACCGAAGTTTCCGGAATACAGTTCGGACCACCCTGTATACAGTTATACAGGGTTGTTCACCACATACGACACGGAGTATTGTAGCTAAACGATTATATTTTTACAAATTTCAAGTTTTGGGTTCGATGTAGGACTATTAGAGGTACAATTTAAAAATAATTTTACAAGATACATAGTATCTCAAATAAGTAAAAAATATAAAAGTTGTATTTTTTTAAATGGAACACCCTGTATATTATTACATTTTTAGTTTCTACGATTAAAATAAAGGTAAATTTGATTAAGGTTTATTATACTTAAACCCATACCCATGGAATATTGACATTTGAGATTGTTTTTAAAGCAACAAATGTACAAAATGTACAGGCTAGTAATATTATCGTTTTTAGCAAAACGATAATATTACTAGCCTATTTGTATGCATAAAGAAAACTATTTAAATCTATATAAAAGAGTATACCATTAATTAAATATAACACCATTATTTCCGCCCATATACTAATTAATTACATACTTAATTGTGTTCGTTAATAAATTATTCTAAATAAATGTGGATTTGAGTCAGAAATCAATATAATAATAAGTTATCACAATTAAAGTCTCTGTTGTTATAAATAAGCATTTATTAAAAAATGAAATATCATTTTTTAAGGTGTTACTTTTATCACACTGTCTAATACCCATACAAAATTCAGTTTTTAGTATTTGGAGCAATTATTATTAATCAACGAAACAGTCAGTTCATGTAGTTTGAATACTGGAATCATATTAATTGGTCCTCTTTAACAAATATTTAAACAGTTTTTTTTAATTTTTTTAATGAAATAAACGAATTATATCGACAATATTAGTATCTGTACTCTTTAAAAATTTGATACATCTTTAAAAACAATCTCAAATGTCAATATTCCACGGGTATATTGATAAATGAGGTCTAATTTATAAGAAAATGCATTTTCTACGAAAACTTGAAGGGACAGGTAAAAAATGGCATAACACAACTTGATAGACAATTAAATTGTGCATCTGATTCTCCTAAAATATACAGGGCGTTCCATTTAAATTAAACAAGTTATTGCCGTTTGAAGCTAATAATTATTTAAAATAAATTTTTAGACACTCTGTATAAGGTTGTATTATTTTTATTATTGCAACACAATAACTGATCAATAAATAAACTTCAGTAAATATTTAGTATTAAAAACTTTGATACCCTTGGAGAAATGAAGCCTTAAAATTTTTACTGCAATTTCACAAAATTGAAAATATTTCAAAAACGGTAAGGTTTAAGTATCATAAACCTTAATCAAATTTACCTTTATTTTAATCGTAGAAACTAAAAATGTAATAATATACAGGGTGTTCCATTTAAAAAATACAACTTAGATATTTTTTACTTATTTGGGACACTCTGTATCATGTAAAATTATTTTTAAATTGTACCTCTAATAGTCCTTCATCGAACCCAAAACTTACAATTTGTAAAGATCTCATCGTTTAGCTACAATACTCCGTGTCGTATGTGGTGAACAACCCTGTATACCGATAGGCCTACCTATTGTTCTGTATATATTATATCTTATAATAATAATAATAATAATTTATTCATAAATACATATAAATACATATAAATAAATAAATAGTATACGTTATAAAGTCAAAGACTTGTTCGTATAAATATTATCTAAATTAAAAACATAAACAGAGTATAAACAATATTAACAAGGAATAATCAGACCCTTAGATACAACCTAACCCAACTAAAACAAAAAAGAAAAGAATTACTTAGTATTTCATCTCACTGTATAAATCCTTGAATTGAGAACAGTATCAGCAAACGATCTGCCCTTCATAATTACCCACAAACGGATTTGTTTTTTAAAAACATATATAGACGATGTAGTTCTAAGCTCCAATGGTATCATATTATATAATTTTGGTCCAAGGTAATAGAAGCTATGATGTGTATGTGTTCTTACTGGTTTAGGCAACTGGACATTTTTTTTATTGCGTCTCATAGGGATGATTCCTTTGAGATAATCTTGCTCTATGAGTGTACTGTGTGATAAGTAAATCACGACAGAAGAGCTGTTTAATGTCCAGAACACTGGATTCCCTGAATAGTGTCTCTGTTGGGTACGTTCTCACTCTAGCATGAATTATTTTTAAGATCCATTTTTGTAGAACCTGTAGTCTATGTATGTGTGTGTTACTGGCTCCACCCCAAGCCACTATTCCATATGTCAAATGCGATTCCACCAAGGCATGGTACAATATCTGGAGATCTTTCATGTTTAGAATATTTCTTAGGTGTTTAAAAATGGCTAATAAATTTCTTATTTTTTGGCATATATAAGTAATTTGATGATCCCAACGTAAGTGACTGTCGATAAAAATACCCAGATACTTAACTTTCACTGCTCTACTTATCGTGTCATTCACACATTGACATGTGTTTTTTACCTCTAAATTTTCAAAAAGTGGAAGACTGTCTTTATAAATGCCGAATGGTATAAAGCAGGTTTTGTCAAAATTTACTGTCATTCGTTTTTTGCTTAGAAAATGAATAATGCGTGGTAGGTCATTTTCTACTTTTGTTCTGAGATTATCCCAATTTTTGTCGCTATAAAATATGGCAGTATCGTCGGCAAACCCAATTATGTTCCCATGAGAAGATAAATGAAATAAGTTGTTTATATAAATATTGAATAAAATAGGCCCTAAAACAGTACCCTGTGGGACTCCATATTACTAGTCCCTATTACTATGCTAGGTTTACTAAATTCATTTTCTATTTTCACTATTTGTGTTCTGTCGGCTAAAAAACTCTCCATAAGACTTAAAGGTTTCCCTCGAAAACCAACACATTCCAAAGTTTTCAGTAGCTCTTTATGGTCCACCGTATCAAAAGCCTTCTTGAGGTCCAAAAACACTACAAGGGCTGGTGTGCTAGAATCCAATGATTTATATATTTCTTCAGTTAAGTGTAAAATTGCATCTTGGGTTGATTTCCCCGCCTGAAATCCATATTGATTTGGAGATATGATATTGTTATTTTCAAAGAAACTGTTGATTCTCACTTTTAGAACCTTCTCAAAAATTTTTGAAAATATCGACAGTAAAGATATGGGTCTGGATAACATCATGTCATTTAAGTTCTATTTACAAAAATCGTAAATGCTTAATATATATGAATGTAAATTAATAAACAAACTTTGTTTACATTTTGCGTGTTGTCTACTTTTGAGTTAGTTTCAATCATATGCTGATGATGCTAACGTGACTAAGAAAGATTAACATTGTAAAAACTACTTGCAAAACAAAATACGAGTTGCTATAAAGTAATTATAATCCGTTTTAATAGCAAGTCATACTTTATCGATATCTTGAATAAAAGATTTATTTCAAAAAAAGAAAAACGAGGAAGATAAAAGCGGACAATTAAAAATGTATGCCATTTTTCTGTCATTTATGTCTAGACGAATGAAAAACCAAAAGGCTAAAATTCTTTAAGCTTGAGTTATTTATTTACGTTTCGTGATGCACGACAAGAATAGTCAATGGAGATTGGAAACGTTGTTTCGATGAATATATAATATTGTTTTACTAATAGAGCTTAATGGAATTTAGTTCAAAAGACTTTTTTTCCTTAGGTTAGTATCAGTTATCTTACAGTTCAGTAAACACAATTAAAAAAATAAGTCAGTTGTTTTTCATGCACTTCATGTCTTTAAAAGTCTTTAAGTAGAATCATCATCATCATTTCCAGCTTATTCAACCATTTCCAATAATGGTATAAATATCACTTCCTTACATACTCCGTTTGTAGTTGGGCTAATTGTTGTTTATAGTTGGCTATGCAGGCCCAAGTTATCCCTGATAATTTCCCAATATCCCATCTCAGGTTCGGTCTTCTTCCAGGTCTTTTAATTTCTCGTGGGTACCATGCTGTAATTTTTGTGGTCCATCTGTTATCCGATCTTCTTGCTAGGTGTCCTGCCTATTGCCATTTGAGGGATTTGACTCTGCGGATGACATCTTTACGGTCTCTTTTGGTTATTTTTAGCATATTTTGTTCCATTGAGCCTTGTGCAACCTGCAGTTTCCTTATAATATCTGTGTTAAGTGTCCAGGTTTCGTATGAATAGGTCATGACTGGTAGTACACATTGGTCGAATGTTTTCTTCTTTAGATAGAGTGACATTGTGGATTTGAATATGATTGAATTTCAGTCATAAGTATATGCTCACTTAATTTTTCTGTTGATTTCTGGTAGTAGAGATCTCGAGCTGTGTATTAGTTGTCCCAAATATATATCTTCCACTATTTCCATACATTCTAATTAAAATACTGTACAGGATGTCCTAGATTTGAGAGTGATTAGGGATTAGGGACATATTGTATTACAATATTTAATTTGTTTTATAACGTTTTTAGTTCGTTACATGTCTTTTTTATATTTGATATATATGATGTCTGGCGTATCGTCATCGGATTCCGTATCGTTCAGGCCTGATAATTTATTTGTTTTGTAATTTTTACGTTCCCTAGTCGCCAACCCTGTTATCGTTTGACACAAACCTGTTCTCGCTCTGAGGAGGCGCTGTCAACATCGCTTCTGTCAACTCTCTCCGTGCTTAACCTCACTTTGTTTTGCCGCTCTATTGTATCCCGGCTTTTAGAATTGGTGATTATTTAAATCTTGCTGTATAATTTGAATCAGCTGCTATTTCAAACCAACAGGTAAAGATGAGATATTATCCTTTTAGATTCGATATTATTACTGCATATTTTTAGGGTAGAGTTTTGGATGTCCCAACTTAACTTGTATTTGTATTTTGCTGGCACGTTGGCGTCCCTTTTCTTTTGTCCTCCAGAATGTTACATGGAAGAAAGGACAGTTTCTTTGTTTATTATTCAGCCCTCGGAAGTAATTCGAGGTAGGTTTATTATGTTTATTAGACCTTGTTTGGTTTTAAACAAGAGTTTCATATTTTTAGTATCCAAGGTACGGGCATTATCCAAGGTCCTAGTAGTGTTCCAAGGTACGGTTAGCGTTCCCCTGTACCGTTATCTTATGGACGGACTGTGTCCAAGGTTATGGTCCAAGGTACGGGCATTATCCAAGGTCCTAGTAGTATCCAAGGTACGGGTAGTGTTCCGCTGTACCGTTATCTTATGGACGGACCGTGTCCGAGCTATGGGCAGGTGTCAAGCCATATCTATGTATTGACTCCAAGGTTCGGGCATTATCCAAGGTCCTAGTAGTGTTCCAAGGTACGGGTAGTGTCCCCATATTGCCCAGCGTGGATGTAGCTTGAGCCCCATGCTGCTTCTTTCCCATCCATAAGCTAGTTAGTAGTTACGGCTGTTCCAATTCATGGTGTCCTCATTCTGGCTCCTTGTGTTGTATTGGATGGCCGAGTACAGAGATGCGAGACCACCTCACGCTGTTACTGTTTGAAGCAAGATTACATAAAGGACAGCTAAGTGTAGATTTAAGTTCTAGTTTTACATTTAACATCTAAAACATTTTCAGTCTTAAACAATAACGTACATCTTAAGTAATATCGTATAGAGTATATTTAGTGGTTAGATTGTTAAGAACATTCATGTCGATTTAATATTTAAAATATTATTTAGATCTTAGGTTTCATTACATTACGTCTTGTAATGGTATTACTTTCATAGATATTAATAATGTAATGCCGTTCGCAGTGGTAATATTTATAAAAAAAACGCTACAGTTTTCATAATTTTTCATAATTTGTTGGTACTTGATCCGCATGTTTTTGAAGTAAAACTTCTTTACGCGCAATGGGAGTAAAACTTGAAGGCCGTGACACACGAGACGCGAGAGAAAAAGTGGTAACGATCGGAGGGTACGGCGCAGCTTGGTAGGGGGTTGAAACTTGCAATTTTACTTCAAATATGCGTACATAGTACCCACACAATTTTTTTGTTTCAAGCTACTATACATTCTTCCCACATCAATTTCTTTCTTTTTATTGTTAACGAAATTCCAGTAGTCACCCTCTAATTTAGAACGTCCTGTAAATACTTTTATCACTACATTTACCAAATACGAAACATATTATTTTACGACTTCTAATACGTAGCTATTTCATTCGCTCCGCATCGCAGAAATCTTTACTAGGCAATAAACTACTGTATCGCACTCTCGAGAGAAAATAATAAAAATCTATTACATTGCATAACCTCAAAAAGAACGAAATAACATGAAGAAGGAATTTAGGATTTCGTGCTGGGCACTAAATCATAACTTGTGAGTGAGTGGAGTGGGGTGGTAGACACGTGCTTTGACTTTAGAAATATAGCAATAAATATTTCTCAAGTTTTAACATGGAATGTGTATTACGGACTGTACTCTGCTCTAGGTATTTCGGATTTTTTTAATCAGGTTATTTTTTCTAGCTGGTTTTTGCTTAATAATTGGAACAGTTCCAATTGTTTTATGGATGTTTTGGGAAGATTTGAACAAATTTGAGTTTCTATGAACAAAGAAATGTTTAAAACTTGTTGTCGTTGTTATGTTTGTGTAAAACTAGAGCAACGGACGGCAAGGCTAAACCTATGCAAAGTCCAGAGACTAGCATGCGTTTGCATCACAGGAGCCATGAGAACCTGTCCAACAGCAGCAATGGAGGGCATTCTAGATCTAACACCACTGCACATTGTCATTGGTAGATATGCCAATGCGACAATGATTAGAATGGTCACTAACGGAATTAGTACTGGGAGAATTGTCAGATCAGGGGCTTGGAACACCCTCAAAAAGGAAATACCACTTCTGCAACTCCCAATGGACGATATGCCAAGAACGTACAACTTTGACAAACATGTCAATGTAGTATTGAGCAATAAGAAGGATTGGAAGAGCGAAACGCTTGCCCATCAGTTAAAAGACCATACCATAACTTGGTATACTGATGCTTCCAAATCCAATACGGGAACAGGGATCGGAGTGTTTGGGCCGAGAGCTAATTACTCCGAACCAATGGGCCCTAGTATCCTACAGGCAGAAATCTACGCTATCGAGAGATGCGTACAACTTATCTTAGATAGGAACTATCGGACACAAGAAATAGCCATCTTATCTGATAGTCAAGCAGCGTTAAAGGCGATCAACTCAGTATCAATCGATTCGAAATTGGTCAAAGAATGCTTAGAGAAGCTGAATAAATTAGGCAAAGAAAACAAAGTCCTCCTACACTGGGTGCCTGCTCACCAAGGGATAGAAGGCAATGAAAGCAAATAATCTAGCTAGGAAA